GAGCATCACCTTGATCCTTAAATACCTTATCGGAGACGCCAACAAGCACAAAACCTATTGCGTTTGTTGGTGTGGTTTGCTCTCCATCGCACTGTAGTCTTACAGTGGCCCTTGTTGAAGACACAAGAGTAGCAACCGTGGAGTATTTGGAGTCCAGGAATCTGTCCCGGTCATGGGGATGGATGGGCATGCGGGGACCTGAGCTCCCAGGGCTCTTGGGCTTGTCGTTTCACCCCTGCCAGCTTCTCTCTGCCCACTGCTGAGATAGGCCCTAGGCTGGTCATCTGCGTAAGCATAGCATCACCACATCCGTCTGCACAGCGCGTCTCCATCCTGTGGGTTGAGGCGTTTCTGTTACAGAGTCATAGGAAAAAAGTTACCCTAGAAAGGACCACAGCAGGTCGCCTACACCAGCCTCCTGCCCAAAGCCAGGCAGGGTTCAGGATTACTTCAGAGCTGTTCCTGGTTGATATTTTTTAAAGTCTCCAAGGACAGATATAGCATGGCCTCTTGGAGTACCTCTCTGAGGGCTTACCCGCTCTCTTGGCAAAGAAACTTGCGTTTGCTCTATTTTTTTAAACTCTCCCATGAGCAAGTGGGAGACATTAATTAGATCCTCCCCCCGTTACCTCATCTCCAAGCTAAACAAGCCCACCTCATCTACAGGCTAAACAAGCGTGGTTCCTGCAGCCATGGTGGCCCTCGGCTAGACTCGCTCCAGTTTGTCACTCCCTCCCGTGTACTGGTGAGCCCAAACCTGGATGTAGAAATCCAGATACGGCCTCACAAGTGCCATGTGGAGGGTGTTTTTGGGGGGCTCAGGAGTATTACCACTACACCTCTCAGTTTGTTCACCTCCCAGTGAAACCTCCGTTACCCTTCAGCTTGTGGGGTGGGCATTGTATATCAACGATCAGCCTCCAGAATGCAAACTTGCATCCGTCACTCATGTACAAAACCTGGGGCTGGAAGGAGAAATTGTCTTATACTCAATCACTGTCACGTATTGTGAAGACCTGCCCCACGGGATGGTGCCCTGTCAGTTACACCGCTCTCTGTGACTGTCTTGCCGCCTCTGCGTCCCTGGGCTGGGTACGACCGTCTGTGAGAGGAGTGTGAGGGAAAGGGGGTGATCGGGGACACAGGCACCCTCGGCAGTACCGGAATGCGCTGCCTCCAAAGGTGCTAATTGGAAAACAACCTGGAATAAATGGGCCTGGCAGAAGTGGTGGGGAGGAGAAGACTGTCACCCCCTTCCCGGGGAGGCAGTGTCCCCTCGGGGCTCGTTCTAGGAGGGGGGCTCCTTTCTCATGCCTCTGCAGGCTGGAAGGTTGCAGGCTGTTTTCCTCAGAGGTCTTGGCCTTTTCCCCTCAGAAATGACTCTCAAATCCTGTGTAGCAGCCCTGACACAATTTTATAGGTATCATCTTCCCACGTTATTGGCAGGCTCTGGCTTGACCCCTTTTATAACTCAGACAGCTTGGAAAAGGATACATAGAGCACCATACCGAAGCACTTGCACAGCTGCTCTTGCAGCATTTCTGGCACTTAGAGCCATCAGCAAAATCTGCCATTTGAACTGAAACTTTCCATGTCTGCTTTTTAGCCTTAGGGTGAATTTTTAAAAATTTATTTATTTATTTTAAGTTTAAAGGTAAATCATTCAACCATATTTGAGCTACCATAATGTGAAGAGAATACAGGTGAATAGTCTTTTGTGTGAAAATAATTCGTAAATTACAAGACACTCTGTGAGGAGATATTGGGTTAATTGGAAAGCTGTAATTAACTGGTTAGAAGCAGGATACAGCCCCCCATTGATTCACATGCATCCCGCAGTGTGGAAGTCCCCCAGCAGGAGCCCCGCTCGTTCCTCGCTGCTCAGGGAAGTCCAGCAGCCCAACTGCTTGCATTTTTCTCTCACCTTCCTGAATTTCCTCCTGTGCTTTTTCTTTGTCTGTGCCTGCAGCTGCAATGGTGATGGTTCTGTACAATTGTATATTGCATAACAGCAGGGGAATTAACAGGTCTCCCTTTAAGAGTTTGCACCAGCAGGTTGTGTTTTGTGTCTAATTGTACCGTGTTCAAAATCTGCTAGATCCAAGACATTTCTTTTCCCTTTCCCTGTGTGTCCCCCCCCGCCCCCAGTAGAATCATAGAGTTGTTAAGGTTGGAAAAGACCCTTAAGATCATCGAGTCCAACTGTTAACCTATCGCTGCCAAGTCCACCACTAAACCATGTCCTCAAGAAAGGTACAAGCATGTCCAAAGAAGGGCAGTGAAGCTGGTGAAGGGTCTAGAGCACAAGTCTTACGTGGAGCAGCTGAGGGAGCTGGGGTGGTTTAGTTCGGAGAAGGGGAGGCTGAGGGGCACTTTTATTGCTCTCTACAACTACCTGAAAGGAGGTTGTAGCGAGGTGGGGGACGGTCTCTTTTCCCTAGTAACAAGCGATAGGACAAGAGGAAACGTCCTCAGGCTGCACCAGGGGAGGTTTAGGCTGGATATTAGAAAAAACTTCTTCACCGAAAGGGTAGTCGGGCATTGGAACAGCCTGCCCAGGGAAGTGGCTGAGTCTCCATCCCTGGAGGTATTTAAGACAGGTGGACGTGGTGCTACATTGTGTCTAAATTGCTGGAAGATTTTTCCAATATAAAGCTTTGTTCTGAGAGGTAATCTCTTCTTTGTCTGCTTCATATAGAGCCAGTGATTAATGTATGAAGAAAATTACATATATTTTGCTTCTCATATTACTTAAAAACATTGGCTGTATTTTCCGGAAAAGTAAAAGTGATACTACCTTTTCAATTCTGATTTTCAAATTGGCACTGAAATACAGAATCGGGGGCCATTTAGGCTTGAAAAACTTCCAGTATTTGCAATACTGAGATGTAATTTTAACCTCTTAATTTATAAAATGTTAGCATTAGGCATGGTGAAGTCCTTCCTGATTCTGCAAAGCCCAGTACAAAGCCCATGTAGCAGAAGCAAAGGAATGAGTGGGGTTTTGCTTGGGGAGATCCACAGAGGTCACCACTGGATACTGAAAAGGGGAAACTCCCAGTTCACTGCATGGAGGGAAGTGGAGCAGAGAGCCCTGTTTCTTCTTTACGATGAGGCTAAGTTGCACACTTCCATTGTAAAATTTCTAGGAATGCCTATTGCATTTGTAAATACAGATCTTCTTTCCAGCTTGGCTGCTTTCACAGAATCATAGAACAGCCCAGGTTGTAAGGAATATCCAAAGACCATCTGATCCAACCTTTCATGGGTAAGGGAGCCTAGATGAGATTGTCTAGCACCCTGTCTAGTCACACCTTGAAAACCTCCTGTGATTGGGACTCTGCTACATCCATGCACATCCATGTTCCAGTTAATGATTGTTCTTCACAAGGAGACACATGGAGACTACAAGGGGCAACGAGTACAAGTTGCACCAGAAGAGGTTTCATCTCGACATAAGAAAGAAATTAAACCTCTAGCTGTGTACATATACATCCATGTATGACTTGCACTCCCGTGTTGGATGGATGCATTAACTAACCATATGCATGTTTAGTTAAAACCTGGCTTAGAAAGCCTGCATTTATTCCAGATCTACTCACTAAGCCATTTCTAAGTAACAGAACAATCTCTGTAAGCTTTGCAAGCTTGCTAAAGTGAGATGTCTAATGGGAACTGGATCCCTTACCTTCAGTGTGCTCTGTCTTTAATCTTGCCCTTATTATTTGAGACGAGGTGATTTTTCCACTCCACTACTTCTTTTTCAGAGTCAGTTACAAACTAGGATGATGTAGTGTCCCACATTTTGTGCATGAACCTTGCTCAGATGCTCACTGGAGATTGAGCCCTTCTTAAAAGAGGGGAGTTGTGAGATGCATGCAGGAGGCAGGGGCGGGAGAGCAGGACTAAGCAGCTCTCTTCTGGAGAATGGTTATTATCCCTCTAGAGACGCTATACATTGCATAAAGTGGTGTCCTGCTTTTAAGGAGGGGTGGGGAGAAGCAGGCAGCAACCCACCTCCTTTCCCAGCACAGCTGACCCTTTGTGGTAATGTCACGGGAAACCGTGCGCTTTCTTCACACAGCAGCTCCAGAAGCGAGCCTGTACCCGCGAACTCACACTGCCAGTGTTTCGTGGTGGCTGGCGTGACCTAGGAGGCAGCCGGCTGCGGTGGGTGCCGGGGACCTGCGGCGAGCCCTCCCTGGGGCTCAGGTGGGGAGCAGGGCAGGCAGAGCAGCTCTGCGGGAAGAGGGAGAAGGGCAGCCCCCGGCCAGGGAAGGTTGTGCCTCTGCCGCTCGTCTTCACCTTTGGGAAAGGGGTGGAGGTTAAGTCGTACCAGGAGTTAGTGGTTGCTGAAGTGCTTCAGCAATGAAGGTGTGTAGTGATTTTATACGGCCTGGCTTCAGCTCAGTGCTCATGTGAGGTTGTTACCCAGGCTGTCACTTCTCCACGGTGCAACTTTAAGAGGAGCCCAAGTGACCTTGGGGTGTGAGCTTTTGGAAAAGGCATTAAAAAAACCTCACAACGATCTTTCTACTCTTTCAATTTAAACAACGTAAGGTTTTCACAGCCTGAAGAATTATTTTTGTTTGTTTTGTCAGTGTCTGCTTTAAATAGTGTTATCTTGGAAGAAGGAAGGTTCATGCACTTTGTATGTCTATTTATGCTTTCTGCATACTACTTCCCGGACTTGTGTGTGGTATTTTAAGCTTGATTACCTCCCAGTGTTGATATGTCTGCACTGCCTCCCTAAATTCAGCTGATGCCTGTTGGCTTCATTGCATGTTTCCAAAAATACAAACTTCAGAGCAACAGGATTCAACCAAAATAAGTGTCGAAATAGTGGCAGTGTACCTAGATACACTCTGCCACAAACAAACAGTGGCGTTAAATGTACAGCACTTCTTTCAGCTACTCTGTCTCATCATATGCTGGAGCTCTGTCTGCGTGAGTGCTTTCTAACTTGCTCTTTCTGTTTCTTCATGCTTCCCTGGATTCAGAGAGAGGTAAATGATTTTCGTTTTTCCATTATTCTGTGTGTTTATCCTTCTGGCATGCACCAAAACGCTTGTATTGGTTTGCTTGTATCAGTGAACAGAAGCGAAACTTCAGTGAGTAAATTCATATCTCTCTGTCACCTTTTCACCTTGCTATTGACAGTATTTGTCAAGTTGAATTGCCTGCTGTTTTTTTTTCCAGGTCCCAAACCCTCAAGTACTAGAACAGTTTAAAATTGTGCAATGCAGTGGCTTTTGATACTTGCTTCTAGTGTTTTGAGATTAAAATTTAGATGTTGTTTTTCTGTAATCTGAAGTGCAGGAAAGTGGTATTAAAATCCCACCTTTTATTTAAAAAAAAAATAAAAGCCAGGATGCTAGGAGCAGGGGATTTAAGGGTTAAGTTTAGCAAGAGTTGGAAGTGTCGATGTTTATTTCCTGTTTTTGGTATTTGTTTCGGATTTGACTGGGTTGGTTGCTTGTCTTTCGAGTTCGAAGAAAAGTTGTCCCCAGTATGTTTGATTTGTTTGGATGTACAAAGGAATCGTTGGGGATTCTCTACAATGCTTCCCGTTTCATGGGAGCGCAGACAGTAAGGCATTGTAGTCAGCTGCTTTGCAGCACAAGGGCTGCAGCCACTCCAAAGGCTCTTACTGATAGAATTGCATCCCTCAGATGAGATTTGGGGTTTGTTTGCTCTCCTAAATTGCAAGGACTTGATACTGGGACTGGGCGGAAGGAATGTGGTTTGGAAATGCGGACTGTTTCTTGCGTTTGCTTTGTGGAATATAATGAGAACAGTTTCCAGGCTTGACTGGTTTTTAATCAGTTCTTTAGGCAGCGTTGGCCTAGGGAAATGTTTGAACTTTCTGGATTATGGCTTTGCAATCTAATGTAGATTTCGTGCATGTGGGAAGCGATGATCCTCCCAGACTAACACTGGCAAAAGTGTGCTGCAAGCAGATTCGTGGGTAGTGTCTGTGTGCGATTGCTGTGTTCTCTGTCTGAATAATAAAGAAAAAAGGAGAACTAGTAAGCATTGCTTATAAAACAAATCACACTAGAGAGATTAACTGATGTAGCATGGTCTGCTGTCTTCTCCAGTTAAATCTGTAGTAGTGCTTTGAGCATCTCAACTTGATGTATTTCTTTATTAAATCTTTAAATATTCCTTATAAACAAAGGCCCACATCTTCCAATTAGATCTGGAAGATAGAAGCATTGTCAAAAATAGCTAAATACTAATTTGTCAAAATCAAATTTACAGGATCTGCTCCAAAGAGGCTGTTTAGAGGTTCACAGGCATAATAACACATTCATCTGTTTTAAGGAAGTTCAGCATTCATCAGAAATGCTAGACTGGCCTTCCTGAGGAGTTAAACCACCACTTTGCGGTGCTACAAAGGAGAAGCAGCAACAATTGCTTGACAACCTACCTCATTTGTGTGCCCTTAGCTTGAAAACTGCGCTGCGCAGGGTAGGAAGGCAGCCTCCTGCCCATGCGTATTTCATAAATGTTGTGAAGCAATTAAGCAAATAACAAAACAAACCCGAAAGAACATTTACCATGAAAAATTTCATAGAATCATAGAATACCAGGTTGGAAGGGACCTCAAGGATCATCTGGTCCAACCTTTCTAGCACAATCTAGACGAGATGGCCCAGCACCGTGTCCAGCTGTGTCTTAAACGTGTTCAGCATAGTGGAGTCAACCACTTCCCTGGGGAGATTATTCCGATGATTGACTGTTCTCATTGTGAAAAATTTACCTCTCGTGTCCAATCGGAATTTCCCTGGGAGTAACTTGTACCCGTTACTCCTTGTCCTCACCATGTGACTCCTTGTAAAAAGGGAGTCTCCATCTTCTTTGTAGCTCCCCTTTAAGTACTGGTACAAGGTGATGAGATGACCTCTAAGCCTCCTTTTCTGAAGGCTGAACAAGCCCAGCTCTCTCAGCCTATCCTC